ACAGAGCTTCAAAACCACCATGGAGATCTTGCTGCCAGATTCGCCTGACTTTCAAATTGTTATCAGGGCTGATAGGCGTTGTGCAGGAGAACACCCGGGTAGATACAACGAACCCACGGTTAACGAGAGGTTGTGGTGTTGATGGTTGAAGAACCCAGTGACTGGCGAGACATTGTTTTAAATTCCAGGGAAGATGGTTTGAAGCGGATCTACGAGACTCATCGTTCATATGATGCCCTTCAGTACCCCCCTCATGTTTTGTAGAGGCGAAGATAGATATCATTTTAATTTAAACCATGTAAACCCGACCACTGGCCAGCCAACCAATAAAAAGACCAGCTCCCGAGAATTTTATGCGTACCGGATTATGGTTAGAGAGGGCGACGCCAACCATATCCACCAGTTCAAATAGCTTTTGAATCAATTTCTGGTGGATATGTATGCGAAGGTGGAGAGTGAAAGGTTGCTGTACCTCCGGACACATCAAAGGAACTGAGGGCAGAGAATTATGTACGCTTTCAAGACGCTTTAAGACGAGAAGACAGCGTAGAGCAATTGGGACAGAAGATTATTTTACCTTCCACCTTTACTGGGGGACCTAAATACATGCATTCACACACCCAGGACGCTTTCTGCTTTGTCCGGAAGTTCGGCCGACCTGACCTCTTCATCACAATTACAGCAAATCCCAAGTGGCTAGAAATCACAACTGTAATTGGAGAACGGCAGTCTGCTGTGGACCGCCATGACGTTACGTCACGTGTTTTTCAACTCAAGCTAAAGTGTCTCATGGCGGTTCTCACCAAAGGCCAGATTTATGGTGCAGTACGCTGCTTCATGTACTCATTCGAATGGCAGAGCACAGCCTTCCTCATGCACATATTCTCATTTGGCTGGAGGAGCCCATTCTTCGAAACAGAGTGGATCAAGTCATCCGTGCCGAGTTGCCAGACTCTCAAGCTGATCCTGAGCTTTCTAACATCGTCCAGACTCACATGTTGCACGGCCCATGTGGCGCTTACAGTGTGAGGCGACGTCAACTGCCCTGCATGAAGGATGGTCACTGCAGTAAAAGATATCCTAGGCCATTTGTGAGTGAAACAAGGGCAGGAGATAATGGATACCCTACTTACAGAAGGCGTGTCCCAGAGGACAGTGGCCATCATGTGCTCATCAAAATTGGCAGTGAATACGTTCCTATGGACAACCGATGGGTAGTGCCTTACTCTCCTGTTCTATCTCGGACATTCAAAACCCACGTCAATGTAGAGTACTGTAGCAGTGTCAAATCGATCAAGTACATTTGTAAATACGTCAATAAGGGGACTGACCATGCCACGTTTGCTGTTAGTGACGAAACAAATGAAATCCAGAGGTACCAGAGTGGACGTTACATCTGCACATCTGAGGCAGTGTGGCGAATACTGTCTTTCCCTATACATGAGAGGTTCCCTGCTGTCTCACACCTGGAAGTTCACCTCCCAGACGAACAGCGAGTCTACTTTCAGCCAGACAATGTCAGGGAACAAATGGAGCGTAGCACAACTCTTTTGGCATTCTTTGATCTCTGCCAGTCAGATGCTTTTGCCAGGACACTTTTTTACAATGAAGTACCTTCCTATTTTACGTACTCAAGACAAAGAGGTTGGGCCAGGAGACTGAGATGAACACCAGTGGCGGGTCATCCCAATGTAAGGCAAGACTCATGCATCGGAAAAGTATACACCGTCCATCCTAGCTGCAGTGAGCGTTACCACCTTCGCCTGCTTATACACTCTGTTCGAGGCCCTATCTGTTTCAACGACCTAATGATGGTCCGTGGTGAACTGCACCCTACTTTCCAGTCTGCTTGCCGGGCCATTGGACTCTTGGAGGATGAAGCCTGTTGGGAGGAAACACTCAGGGAGGCTGCCGTTTCTAAGAGCCCTCGCAAGTTGAGAGATCTCTTCAGTGTCCTGGTGGTGTTCTGCAACTTGAGTAACCCCTTGATCTCTGGATGAGGTTCAGAGACTCCCTGTCTGAGGAACTTTTGAGAGCAGCTCAACAGGTGGACGTTAACACAACATATGACAATGCTCCTAACCTGTATGATTTGTGCCTGACAAACATGCAGGAGATCATTACCCGTATTGGTGGTCTGCAGTTAGACAATTACAACCTACCTGTGCCGGCCAGAGCTGTTCATCAATTAAATATTCATTACATCAGGGAGACCAGCTACAACCATCCTGAACTTTTAAACTTTGTTGAGTAGAACTACCCGATGCTCACAGACGAACAGCGTCAAGTCTATGACCATGTTCTTTCTAGCATCCACAGTCCAACAGATCACAAGACCTTTTCCCTTGACGCTCCTGGAGGAACTGGAAAGACGTACCTCATAAACCTGATTCTAGCACAGGTTAGAGGTGAGCATAAAATCGCTCTAGCTGTAGCTTCTTCAGGCATTGCAGCTACTCTACTACCTGGTGGGAAGACTACTCATTCAATGTTTAAAATACCCATCAATGTCTGCTCCATTTCAAGGAACGCTCCAATGGCCCAAGTGATCCGAGAATGCTCACTCATAGTGTGGGACGAATGCACCATGGCCCACAAACTGAGTATTGAGGCATTAGACCGCACCTTAAACGACATAAGAAACAACAACAAGACTATTGGGGGAGTCACGGTGTTGTTCTCTGGAGATTTCAGACAGACTCTGCCCGTTGTGGTGCATGGGACGCAGGCAGACGAGATCAATGCCTCACTAAAAAGATCTTTTATGTGGTCGACCAATGAGCGTCTATCCTTAACAGTAAATATGATAGTTCGTTTTGGGGAAGAACAAGGGGTTTAGGAGTTTTCTGAGGTCCTTTTGAAAGTTGGGGATGGAACATTGGAAAACACCAGTGGTCTCATAAACATCCCTCCTTCACTTGGCACAATCGTCGAATCACAGGAACAACTGATCGACAGTGTTTTCCCCGGGTTCATGAACTGCTCAACTTCGAAAGTGCCTGGCTCTGTGATCGTGCCATCCTCACACCTACCAATGAACAAGCAATGGAGATTAACAGGAAAGTGATGTCTCTTTTCCAGAGCGACGAACGAACATATAAATCCGTTAACACGGTTCTTAACCAGGACGACGCCGTTCACTACCTGGCAGAGTTCCTCGACTTAATAACAGCACCCGGATTACCTGCCCACGAGCTCACGCTTAAGGTCGGAGCTCCAATAATGCTCCTCCACAACTTACATGCTCCCAACTTGTGCAACGGAACGCGACTTCGGGTTCATAGTCTGAAAAGATACGTCAACGAGGCAGACATCCTCACTAGCAGTGGTGCTGGAGAGTCAGTCTTCATACCACACATCCCCTTGATCCAAAACAACTACCCATTTGAGTTCAAGCGGCTGCAGTTTCCGGTCAGCATCTTCTTTGCGATGACTATAACAAGTCACAGGGCCAGACATTGTCCACTTCAGGGGGTAGAGCTCAGTGAATCTGACTGCTTTTCACACGGGCAGCTATATGTAG